AGAGAAAATAAAGGGAGGTTTGTAGAAAAACATGACCGTACACAAATTTTATAAAGAGGTTTGACTGTGAAGGGGAGGGGAGAGAAACCTGGAAGGAAAGAGAAGGTGGAAAGAATGTGTTTTTCAAGACGGGAGACTTAAACAAGTTTAATTGCTGTTGGAAAGGAATAGGCAGACAGAAAGAGAATGAAAAAGAGAAAGAGAAAGAGAAAGGGAGGGAGAGAGATTAAACATCCAAGATAAGAAGTGGGAGGAAATGAATAATTGTTAGGTCGGGGTCACCAAGAAGGCAGGAGGTGATGGGATTCTTGACACAGGGACTGGTCACTGTCACCTGGAGAGAATGGTGAAGCTGCAGATAAGTTTCATGGTAGCAATGAGAGTGTTGCCAACTGGTGACAGGGTCTGCTTCCTTAGTAACCTAGATGGTGAGACCACCTGATGGGGTGGGAGGCAATGGTTTCAGGACAGTGTCAAAGGTTTGAACAGCTGCTGGGTGAATGGAGAGAGGTGAGTAAGGAAACAAGAGGACTGGCAGGTGGCCTGGGAGAGGCTGGAAACCACGCCATCATGGGATACCCATTTCACAGACACATGCTTTTCTGTGGCATCCTGGGCACATGTTCAGAAAATGGTGGCAGGTAGATGAATGAAAGGTGGGAAGATTTTGTGGGAGGCTGTGACAGAATGGGAATAGTGAGGGGAGTTGGAGGTATTGGTGAAGAAATGGTTGAAGTGATGATTTTTGGACTCAAATTGGCTCCGAAAGGCAATGAGGATGGGAGGGGCTGACAGGGAGAAGCTGGGGGATGGGAGTGTTGAAGGTGTAAAGCCGATGTGATGGGGAATTGCGTGCTGGAGCTGGTGGTCTCAGAATGCCCGGCTTAAATAGAATCTTTCAAAGATGGGACATTTGCAGGTGGAGAAGGCCCCGTGGATGGGCTGTGGGACTGGGTGAGAGGGGAGTGGAGGTGTCATCTGGGTTGACCCAGAAGGGCACTTCCTGGCTGCCCTGAGATGTCTTGGCACTGGTTGGGGCTTCATGACCAATTTCATTGTGATCTGAAAGGGGGAAGATTACTCAGGCTTCTCTCTCTGTTCACAGTTGCTAGAGAACGAAATAGAAGCTCCAGAGTCAAAGTTATTGATTTCTTTCTCCAGATTGGATAATCTAATATCAACACTGAACCTTTTCTGAGTATGGGAACATCCATGCCAGTTTCCATTTCTAGAAGAAAGGGTACATTCTGATACAAGGACACAGTGTCAATGGTTCTCCAAGAGGCAGTGATGGCAGTTGGCCCTTTGAAGGACTCGGGGGGTTTGTTCTCCAGGGGAAGGGAAACCCCAGCTGACATTTGGATGATAGTATTTTTTCCTCCTAATTTTGAAAGGATAAGCAAATAGTTTTCATTGGAAAGTGAGAATTTGGGAGTGATTTGAGTTTGGGGTGGGGAGAAGGCTTTACTTTTTATTTTACACATTTGTACAATGAAATTATTTTTATAGTGATAAATTACTACTTTTATAATAAGAGGTTTTTATTGAAAGCAAACATGAAAATGAAAAAGAAGGAAGGGCAGGAGGAAGGAAGAAAGGGAGGGAGGGAGGGAGAAAGAGACTGTGGAATTAGAGCAAAGGGAAATGTAGAGAGAGATAGTAAAATGAAATTAGGCAAAGAATTGATCAGAAATGTGGAGGAGGAGGTCGGCTGTGTGTGATAGGAGACAGACTCACAGCCACCACAAGGTAACTGGCTACTCGAAGCCTTGCTTTTCTGGGTCCATGGCAGTAGTTCTCAAACTTCGTTACACATTAGAATTACCTGGGGAGATTTATTAACCCTGATAGCCAGGTGTCCTCTGACCTGATGCAATCAGAAGGTTATGGGGTTTTTTAATGATCCCAGGACATTCCCTTGCACCTCAAAGTCTGGGAACAGAAATTTCTCCTGTGGGTTTGCACAAGGGCCCGTCCCGAGGTGCAGCAGGCATCCCCTCAACAGTGTCTCCCCTAGAGAGAGTTTCTGAGGTTGGCAGAAGCTCTCTTCAACACAATCTAGGGCACCACATTCACCTGTGGCTCAGTGCAAGCACATCTGGGATGGGGGTTTCAGGTGTGTGTAGCTCTCTAGTGAACTGGCTTGGCCCCAGTGTAGAATTTAGATATTCTAGAATAGTGGTTTTCAAGCTGGTTCTGTAAAGCCCAGGGGAGCTAGAGAGGGGGTTCAGTCGGCAGGGGCTACCCCTCTGTATTTCAACCAGGGATGATTTAATTAGATTGTTTCATATTTTGGGCTTTCAGGAAACAATTTTTTTGGGAAAAAACTCGAGAGGGAGAGAGACAGAGAGAGAGAATAATTGATCTAGAATAGGGGTTGGTCAACTATGGCCCAGGAACTAAAACTAGTTATCTATTTTTAAATGGTTGGAAAAGAATTCATGACACATAAAAAACATGAGATTCAAATTTCAGTGTTCATACAGAGTTTACCGAACACAGCCCTTCATTTATATATCATCTATGGCTGCTCTGCGGCAGAGTTGGGTAACTGGGATAAAGACCATATGGGCGGCAAAGCCTCAGATATTTACTGTCTGGCTCCTCACTGAAAATATTTGCCAACTTCTATTCTAAAAGAACCAGTGGAAGTCCTTGTTTCTTTGTGTGTTCGTTTTTGCAGTTTGGTAATAGGCACCTCACCATTTCTATCAGAAAATTGAGAAAATGTACATGTGCATTGTCTATACAAACAAATTCTCTCTCTCTCTCTCCCTGTGTGTGTGTGTGTGTGTGTGTGTGTGAGAGAGAGAGAGAGAGAGAAACTGACTCATTTCAAGACGTGTTTTCTCATTGCCCTGATTTGCCTTGTGAGATAAATATGTATCGTTATTTTTTCTCCCTTTAAATAGACAGTTTTTACAGCAGTGGTAAGTTCACAGCAGAATTAAGCAGAAAGAACAGAGAGTTCCTATATATTACTTCCCCCCGCCCCACCCAGAGAGCCTCCTTTACTGTCAACATCTGTTATCAGAGTGGTAGACGTGTTACAACTGATGAACTCACAGTGACACATCACTGTCACCCAAAGCCCGTAGGATACATTAGGGTTCATTCTTGGTGTTGTACATTCTGTGGGTTTGGACAAATGTATAAGGCTGTGCATCCACCATTACAGTATCATGCAGAGTAGTTTCACTGCCCTAAAAGTTCTCCGTGCTCCACCTATTCATCCCTCCCTTCCCCCAACCCCTGGCAACCACTGATCTTTTTACTGTCTTCATAGTTTGCCTTTTCCAAAGTGTCATATAGTTGGAATCATATAGTCTCTCTGTCACTCAGGCTGGAGTGCGGAAGTGCAGTGATAACTCGATTTAACTTCGAACTCCTAGACTCAAGGGATCCTCCCTTTTCTGCCTTCTGAATAGCTGGGACTGCAAGCATACACCACATGCCTGGCTAATGTTTTAATTTTTTGTAAAGATGGGGTTTTGATAGTTGCCCAATTTTGGTCTTGAATTCCAGGCCTCAAGTAATCCTCCCACCTCACCTTCCCAAAGGACTAGGATTAAAGGTATGAGCCCAGATAGACTTCTTTAAGTTAGTAATATTTATTTCAAGTTCTTCCAAATCATTCTTCTTGATATTTGATTAATGGCTGGGTCAGGTAGGGATGGATCCTGGATACTGTTTTCCAACGGCTGTTATCAAGATGGAAGAAATTGCCTTTCTCCAGAAATCTTCTTGGGAGGAGTATTGTGCATGGGATAGGAAGGCTCCCAAGGATCCAAGTCTTAAAGCAGGGTCAGTGAACTCCGTTCTATGGAGGGAGAGCACAGCGAACTGCAGGGTGAGGGTTTTGCTGAGTAGAATCTGTGTTGGAAACAGATGCGTGGTGCTGCAAAGAAAAATCAGCACAGAGACAAAGGATCTTTTAGCAAGCAATTTTTACTTCCTGGACTGCAGGAAGGGTACTCTCGCTAGCCATCTTGCCTCGAGAGTACAACGAACAGAGGAAAAGCAAACATATTTATCCCTTATCCATTTGGGGTTGTCCTTACTGCTGTGTCTGCTCTCTGTTGGCTGGAGCCAGACATCACAATCTTAATTAAAACCCGATTGGCTAACAACTTTAAACTTTTCTAAACAGGTAAAAGCAGTGGAGAGCTGGGACGTGCCTGTGAGCACGTCCAGCACAGATATCTTGGTTAAAGTACAAGGAAATAGAATATACTACGTGCCTGTAAGCATGACATGTTTAAAGCTACATAGGATAGGGCTTAACAAAGAGTTATTAGCAAATTTATTCTTTAATGAGAAAGGAAACTTGAAAGAGGAACTTTTCTACTTCCCACAGTCTGTAAGTTTGAAATCAGAGTGGAATTATTAAGGATTAAAACACCTAAACTTACATATAAGCAGTGCCCCTCACACAATACCAGGCTTCTAATCTAAATAAATGGTGCTTCAAGAATTTAAAGAATACTGCTGCCAAATTATGAGGCTGCCAGGAGTGGTCACATGTCTTAGATACATAATTTTATTAGCATGATCTAAAAGAAGGATCACCAGCTTTAGAAGATTAAATTTTTACTTCAATCCTTAACCACATGTTTTGGTGACTTTTTAGATTTTTTTTTCATGGTTGGTAATAAATACATCATTTACAACATCAAGTGAGGTCACTGAATGACATCTGTGAATGCGTGCATTGTTTGCACAACTCGCACTACCAGAAGTGTGGTGGTGTCAAGGGCCATTTGATTCCTCAAGTCTTACCCTTGTCAAAAACTTGAGTGAGGGAGTCCCAGAGAGAGAAATTTGGAGCTGGTGCTGATTATACACCTCATAATTATATTGTACTTATCACTTCTATTCAGATTTACTGAATGTCAGCTATGGGCATAACATGGTAGAGGGTGAATGAGGCATAGTCTGCTTTTTGGCACTTAGTTAATGGGAAATATGTTTCACATGTTCCTCCTTTCCTTTTCCCATAGGTCCAGCTGAATCCAGAACTTGCTGTTAAGAGTGGTACCTCGGGAGCTGGCATGCTTCCCCTGGGCTCGAGGCTGACTTCTGTTTCTACAAACAGGACCTCAGAACCCAGAAGCCAGAGGAGCCAGGGCAGGAGGTTCCAGGGGCATTCTCTGGAGCTTCCTGAGCCTGGTGGGAGCCCCACGTCAGACAGCCGTGGTGGCACTTTGTGGAAAAGCCCTGGCCGGTCATTCCAGGCCAGCAGCCCAGCCACGGGTGCCTACCTGCATCTGCCTTCTCATCACCTTGAATCCAGGGCCAGAAAGAAGGTCCTCAACCGGGAAAACAGCTTTCAGAAGCTTGAGGCAGAGATGAATGTTGACACAGGGTTCACTATCATAAATTCTGAACCCAGGCAGACTTATTTTGGTGGATTTCCAAGGGATTTGCAGACCAGCCAGCCACCATTCTGCTTGCCGCCCTCTTCCTTAGGGGTGGCTACCTCCAAAAACAGCAGTGTCCTTAAGGAAAGAGTCTGTCCTTTGCCACTTGCTGGCCAAAGGGACCTTGGTACCAGGAAGACAATTTCAAAATGTCTTCTTCATCTGCACGTTCAGGGTGAAGAAAAAGAAGACAAAGAAGAATTCTTTATATAGCATAAAATGAATGTGGTTTTCTAAAACATAAGCTCAGATAGAATGTTCTAGAAATATAGTACTGACATAGAATGTGCCCCATGCACGATCTATATTGCTTTATTTCAAATGTTGAGTCTAAAGGTGCTGGGAATGATTATTTGCCATCATAGTCGTAAGCAAATACAGCCAACACAGGGAAAAAGCCGAATGCGTTTGTTCCCTGGAGATGCACTAACCCAGCTGGATGTGTTGAATCCAGCACCTATCGGGATAATTGCATTGTATGCAAATGAATTGGTATGTTATACAACACTAATTAGTGTCTGTAATTTGGTTTTAATTTTTACTTAGGCTGCATAGCTCATCCCCCTGGACAATATGGACTGCTATTTATTCTTCAATGCTTTTTAATTTTTATGTGACCTCTTTTGGTAACTAGGCCTGGTTCACCACATACCATCTTGTGATTTTGCTTTTAAAGTTCTTTGTATCTGGAATGAGTGAAAATGCAAAGTGTTTCGAAAATTATAAACACTTAATTTTGTTTTCCTGTTTAATAAGCCAAAATACTGGAAGCCAGGAAATCAGGTTAAAAATGAATGCTGGGCTCTAGGGTTTTTCTCCTTGTCTGCTTCTCATTTGTTTCTGTGCTATGTCAAAGAGGACTGTGGTTCTTGTTACAAACCAAAGAGGAATGTGGTTGATTGGATGATTTCTGATCTCCACTGAGCACAGGGGAAGACTGGATGGGTTGATATGGTCACTGGAGCAGGACTTGTGTTCCTCTGGAGACATTTCCACTCCAAGATTATTTTACAAAACTCACTCACTTATTCATTTATATGTGTTCATTTAATAAATATTTTTTGAATATTTGAGTAAGACATTGTGTATATGGTACATATACCATCTGTGGCCACGAAACCCAAAAAGTGTTTGTGGTTTCACCACTGTGATAAATTCATCCTGCCAACTCTTTTTTTTCTTTCTTTTCGAGATAGAGTTTCGCTCTGTTGCCAGGCTGGAGTGCAGTGGCACAATCTCTGCTTACTGAAACCTCCACCTCCCGGCTTCAAGTGATTATCTTGCCTCAGCCTCCCGAGTAGCTGGGATTACAGACGCACCACCACTCCAGGCTAACTTTTGTATGTTTAGTAGAGACAGGGTTTCACCATGTTGGCCAGGAGAGTCTCGATCTCCTGACCTCGTGATCCGCCTGTCTCGACCTTTCAAAGTGCTGGGATTACAGGCCTGAGCCACCACGCCTGGCCCATTCTACCAACTTTTTAAAAGATATTGAATTCCGAATACATTATTCCAAAAACTTTTTCCACAGTTAAGACCCACACTTGCCGCATAATGGTGTAATAAGCATTTGCAACCTGCAGAGGGAGACTGGGCATATTATGAATTGCAATTATAATTGGAATGGACAAATTCTCAGCTGCCCGTATGCTGAATTTTTTGGTTATGTCTGTACACACATTTGTTAAAAACCTGAGGCCTGTGCTTCAGTTCATTTAGAAGGTTATTCGACGCCATGAACTTCACTCTCAGAAAAGATGTTAGGTAAGAGTATAAATGCTGATTCAGCTGGATCTTTCGGAGACTTGGAGACTTACTACATCCAACTGGAGGCAGAGATGAGTTCAGGCCTAAAGTCAAATCTTGCACAAGTGAGTCTAGGCTGATTCTGGGTGCTCTGCTCGGCAAAAGGGATAGAAATGGAGGAGAGTTTCAAATGGAAAAAGACGGCCGGGCGCGGTGGCTCAAGCCTGTAATCCTAGCACTTTGGGAGGCCAAGGCGGGTTGATCACGAGGTCAAGAAATCGAGACCATCCTGGTCATGGTGAAACCCCGTCTCTACTAAAAATACAAAAAATTAGCTGGGCACGGTGGCGCGTGCCTGTAATCCCAGCTACTCAGGAGGCTGAGGCAGGAGAATTGCCTGAACCCAGGAGGCGGAGGTTGTGGTGAGCCGAGATCACGCCATTGCACTCCAGCCTGGTTAACAAGAGCGAAACTCCGTCTCAAAAAAAAAAAAAAAAAAAGAAAAAAGGAAAAAGACAAGACTTCTCAACTGATATTTCTTGTCCTTAAAATATCAATATATTCTCATTCCCATTTTCCCTCTTTCTCCCCCAGACTAAAATGTGGTTTTAGAAAATGGGATGAAGAACTTATCTTTGGTATGGCTTTCTATAATAAGAGTTAGAAAAAAAAAAAAAAAAAAAAGAAAGTTCAACTACCAAACTTTGAATAAACACAGCAGGAAGAAGTTTTGAAATTTCCTTTCTACTTTTTTTTTGTGTTATCCAAATTTTCTTAATATAATACATGGGTAAGAATACAAGTACCTACAAATCATAAAGACTATGAGAAATGTGAATCAGCACCTTACGAAATTGAGTTGTAAAATAATATACTCTTAAAATGTCATCTATTCTGTCCTGTATTGTTCAGGGTCCCCAGGGGAAGAGAACGAATAGGATATATCTATATCTATATCTATATCTATATCTATATCTATATCTATATCTATATCCTATATATATGTGAAAGGTAGTTTATTAAGGAGAATTGACTCACATGATCACAAGGCGAAGTCCCACAGTAGGCTGTCTGCAAGCTGAGGAGCAAGGAAGCCAGTCTAAGTCCCCAAAACCTCAAAAGTAGGGAAGCCGACAGAGCAGCTTTCAGTCCGTGGCGGAAGGCCCTAAAGCCCCTGGCAAACAGTGGTGTAAGTCCGAGAGTCCAAAAGCTGAAGAAGCTGGAGTCTGATGGAGTCCAGGGTGGAAAGTATCCAGCATAGGAGAATGATGAAGACCAGAAGACTCTGCTAGTGTAGTCCTTGCACGTTCTTCTGCCTGCTCTATTTTAGCCACGCTGGCCGCTGATTAGATGGTGCCCACTCAGACTGAGGGTGGGTCTGCCTCTCCCAGTCCACTGACTCAAATGTTAATTTCCTTTGGCAACACCTTCACAGACACACCCAGGAATGATACTTTGCATCCTTCAATCTAATCAAGTTGACTCAATATTAACCATCACACTATTCAACAAAGGAATTCAATTTACAGCATGACGGGATAGAAATACTAGTGGGCTGGATGGGGGAGGCCCAGATTTTGGTTTCCTCTTCTAAATTTACTATTGATGTGACCTTGAGAATGTCAGGCTCCTTGGTCCTCGGTTGCTTTAACAACTGTAACAAAAGATTGTTAGGGGACTCAAGATGATGTATATGAAAGCATTTGCATCTCATGAAGCATTATAAATGTGTGAAGTTTTTATGATTATTGTATTATTTTGTATATTATATAACATAGTATATTATTAATACCATTGGTCCTTTGGACTCACAGTTTAAAAATGTCATGAGAACAAAGGACGTTTTTTGAAACAAGTTTTGGTAAAATCAATGAGGCAATAAAAAACAAATCCACCTTTCTAAGATTTTTACTATATGTGCCATTTGCTTTATGTTTCTATAGCTAAAAAGAAAATTATTTATAACAAACGATCAAATACATCCTAAAGTTCAATAGAGATTGTATACAACCTGGATAAACTATGAACTAGCTCGATCCAATTTATCAAATTAATGAGACTTAATTGAATTATGTGCTATTCCCTAAAATGTATAATGTGTCACTTTTTAAACCTGAAATGTATAATGTGTCACCTTTTAAACCTGAAAGTCTTCTGATGATTAGAATACTTTATTTTTCTATAAACAAAATGCACATCCATTTGAGTTCAGTCCTAGACCACTGCAATAAAGCAGGTATTGTAATAAAGAAAGTCCCATGAAATTTTTGGTTTCCCAGTGCATATAAAAGTTATGTTTACAACATACTGTAGCCTATTAAGTGTGCAGTAGCATTGTGTTCAGGAAAAACCCAGTGTACATACTTTCATTAAAAAATATTTTATTGCATAAAGATGCTAATGATCATCTGAGCCCTCAGTGAGTCATAATCTTTTTGCTGGTGGAGGGGCTTGCTTGACGTTGATGGCTTCTGACTGATCAGGGTGGTGGCTGCTGAAGACTGTGGCGGTTGTGGCAATTTCTCAAAATAACAACAATGAAGTTTGCCACATCAATTAGGACTCTTCCTTTGTTAAGGATTTATCTGTAGCATGTGATGCTGTTCTGTAGCCTTTTGTCCACAGTAGAACTTCTTTCAAAATTGAAGTCAATCCTCTTAAACCCTGCTGTTGCTTCATCAACTAAGTTTATAGACTATTCTAAGTCCTTTGTTGTCATTTCAACAACGTTCACAGCATCTTCATCCAGAGTAATTTCCATCTCAAGAAACCACTTCCTTTGCTCATCCTCAAAAAGCAACTCCTGATCTTCAAGTCTTATGGCATTGTAGCAATTCAGTCCCATCTTCGGGCTCCACTTCTGATTCTAGTTCTCTTGCTATTTTCCTGCTAATTGACAATGCTCTTGGTCACCCAAGAGCTCTAATGAAGATGTACAAGGAGATGAATGTTGTTTTCATGCTTGCTAACGTAACATTCATTCTAGCCCACAGGTCAAGGAGTCATTTCTACTTTCAAATCTGCGATTACTTCCTTCACTGGTCTTGAACCCCTCAAAGTCATTTATCAGGGTTGGAATCAGTTTCTTTTAAACTCCTGTTAAAGTTGCTATTTTGACCTCCTTGCATGAATCACAAATGTTCTCAATAGCATCTAGCATAGTCAATCCCTTCCAGAAGCTTTTCAATTTACTTCACTCAAATCTATCAGAGGAAACACTATCTATGGCAGCTATCACCTTGCAAATTTTTTTTTTAAATCCTAAGACTTGAAAGAAGAAATGACTTCTTGATCCATAGGCTAGAATGAATGTTGTGTTAGCAAGCAGGAAAACAACATTTATCTCTTTGTACATGTCCATCAGAGCTCTTGGGTGACCAAGTGCATGGTCAATTAGCAGTAATATTTTGAAAGGAAACTTTTTTTTTTCTGAGCAGTGGGTCTCAACAGTGGGCTTAAAATATTCAGTAAGCCACACTGTAAACAGATGTGCTGTCATCTAGGCTTTCTTGTTCCATTTATAGAGCACAGGCTGTGTAGATTTAGCATACTTTTTCAGGACCTAGGATTTGCAGAATGGTATATGGGCATTGGTTTCAATTTAAAGTCACCAGCTGCATTATCCCCTAACAAGAGAGAGAGTCAACCTGTCCTTTGAGGCTTTGAAGCCAGGCATTGACTTTTCCTCTGTGTAAGTCCTAGAAGGCATCTTCTTCCAATGAAAGGCTATTTCATGTACACTGAAAATCTTTTATTTAGTGTGGCCGCCTGTATAAACGATCTTAGCTGGATCTTATCAACAATTTGCTGCAAATTCTATATAAGCTCTTGCTGCTTCACCTTGTACTTTTATGTTATGGACACAGATTCTTTTTTTCAAACTCACAAGCCAACACCACTGTTAGCTTCAGACTTTTCTTCTGCAGCTTCCTCACCTCTCTCAGCTTTCACAGAATTGAAGAGAGTTACAGCCTTGTTCTGGATTAGGCTTTGGCTTAAGGTGATGTTGTGGCTGGTGATCTTTTACGCAGACCATTCAAACTTTCTCCATTTAGCAATATGGCTGTCTTGCTTTCTTATCATTCATGTGTTCACTGGAGTCACATTTTTTATTTTAAGAACTTTTTTTTTTTTTGCATTAACAACTTGGCTAACTGTGTGTTGCAAGAAACCTCACTTATTTCAAATTTTGACCCGCCACCTTCACTAAGCGGCACCATTTCTAGCTTTTTATTTATTTATTTACTTATTTGTTTTCGAGACAGAGTCTCTTGCTCTGTCACCCAGGCTGGAGTGCTCACTGCAGCCTCCACCTCCCAGGTTCAAGCAATTCTCCTGCTTCAGCATTCTGAGTAGTTGGGATTACAGATGCTTATCACCATGCCTGGCTAAGTTTTGTATTTTGTTTTTTAGTAGAAGTAGGGTTTTGCCATTTGGCCAGGCTGGTCTTGAACTCCTGACCTCAGGTGATTGGCCCACCTCAGCCTCCCAAAGTGCTGGGATTACAGGTATGCGCCCAGCCTCTAGCTTTTAATTTAAGTGAGAGAGGTGCAATGCTTTCTTTCACTTGAAGGAGCCACTGTAGAGTTATTAACTGGCCTAATTTCAACATTGTTGTGTCTCAAGGAGTAGGAAGGACTGAGGAGAGGGAGAGAGATAGGAATGGCGGTTCAATGGAGCACTCACAACACATAAGACATCCATGGATATTGCGCTATTTGTGGTGCCCCCAAACAATTGCAATAGTAACATCAAAGATCACTGATCACAGATCACCATAACAGATATAATACTAATGAAAAAGTTTGAACTATTGTGATAATTGCCGAAATGTGACCCAGAGACATGAAGTGAGCCCATGCTGTTGAAAAAAATGATGTCAATAGACTCCCTTAGTGCAGGGTTGCCACAAGCCTTCAATTTGTAAAATAAAAAAAACCCAATATCTGCAAAGAACAATGAAGCAAGCACAATAAAACAAGGTGTGGCTGTACAAGCGTATTAAAAATCAGGTGCATTGCAGTTGTTGGGCTATTTTTAACCTTATTAATAATATTTCACATTTTTACAGGTATTATTTGTACACTGTTAAACATTAACAGAGATGGTAACATTTGGAAGCTTACAAACGTATTAGTCTGTTAGTGGAAGTAGAGGAAGGGCTGTGGGATTTGAGGGTGGAGCGGGAGAAGATAGGAAGGGGTGGATGCACCTTGGTTTACAAAGGCAGGTGAAGCTGGAGCCTCAGCCGCTGCCACCATGTGCCTTCTGCTTGATGGCAAGTTTGTGAGGCAGCCTTGGTCTTTCCATGGCCCCTTCAACAACCTGCTTGGTTGCTCCAGTTATGCGTGGGAGAGGCTCCTTTCTTCCCTCCCAGAGAAAGACGGAGAAAGGGGAAAGGAAACATGAAACAGAAGAAAGGAGCTACGAGCGCACACCACGTTTTCTGTTGATTAAAAGCTCCTTGATTACATTTCCATGTTACAAAATGTATTCAGAAATTCCTATAACAACTCACCGCTGTGTGACTTGCTAGCATCTTCTCTAAGCCATGATGGATTGGTCTTTCCCCTTCTCTTCCATTTCCTTTCCTTTTTATTTCTTTTCCCTTCCCTCCTTCTATTTCTCCCTTCTTTTTGTGCATCAATTTGATCCTTTCTTTATTCTTTGCTCTCTTTTAAAATACTTTTTTTTTCATTGCTGCATCTCCCAGGATTCCCTCAAGGGGCTGAGATGCAGCAGAAACTTCTACATGGGCCTTCTCAGCTAAGATCAGAGAATGAGAAAGAAGAGCTCAATGAGGAAATTCTCCCCAGTTGCCAGTTCATTTTCAGGATTCTGCTCTGGGTCAATGAAACCCCCATCACTTAGAAACAAACTGGTCTCTGCATCCACAGCTCCCTTCTGTCACGTCTACTAAACCCTTACCTGAGGTTTAAGATGTTTCTTAAGCATTTCTCACAATTTGCGATGTTTAAAATCTGCTGTAGCAAGTAAGACAAAAAGAAAAGGTGCTTATAGCCCCCAGGCCACATAATTAGGATGTACATTACTGAAAACTTGGTTTTATCAAAATTTATTTTCTACTATATTTATTTAAAAAGTCTTGTTATTCCAGGGATCCTAGCTGGGCTTTTGGTGACCTGGGACTCTTAGTGGAACAAGAAATGTATTGTTTTTACAAATCCCAGTTCTGCCAGAGATATTTCTGAGGGGAGCCTTTTGAGAACAATAATTCTTTATTTTCCTTTTGTACTTTATTACTTATTTTTTACCTTTAATTGATATGATTACATACTCAAATTTTAATACAAGAAATAGTCATTGTCTATTTCTTTTTTGAACACTAGTTTTTTTATTTGTTTTTAGACATTCACTTCTGAGTATTATCATAGTTTCATTGATTATAGCTCAAAATGATTTTGTCATATATAAAATTTCTTCCTTATGTCAAAAATGCAACTTCCTTTCTTACATAAACATCTATATTGTCAAGCGAAAGAACTGCTCTTAACTGAGTTCCTTTCTTTTTTTAACTTTTACTTTCAGTTCAGGGGTACATGTGCAGGTTTGTTATATAGGTAAACTTGTGTCATGGAGGTTGGTTTTACAATTATGTTGTCACCCAGGTATTAAGCCTGGTACCCATTAGTTATTTTTTTCTGATCCTCTCCCTCCTCCCACACTTCACCCTCTGAAATGCCCCAAGTGTGTGTTGTTCCCTCTATGTGTCCATGTGTTCTTATCATTTAGATCTCACTTATAAGTAAGAACATGCAGTATTTGGTTTTCTCTTCCTGTGTAAGTTTGCTAAGGATAATGACCTTCAGCTCCATGCATGTCACTACAAAGGACAAGATCTCATCCTTTTTTATGGCTGCATAGTATTCCATGGTGTGTATGTATCACATTTTCTTTATTCAGTCTATCATTGATGGGCATTTAGGTTGCGTCCATGTCTTTGCTATTGTGAATAGTGCTGCAATGAACCTACATGTGTGTGTGTGTTTGTAACAGAACAATTTATATTCTTTTGAGTATATACATGGTAGTGGGATTGCTGAGTCAAATGGTATTTCTTTCTTTAGGTCTTTGAGAACTCTCCACATTGTCTTTCACAGTGGTTGAACTAATTTATGCTCCCACTAACAGTGTATAAGCATTCTTTTTTCTCTACCACCTTGCTAGCATCTGTTATTTTTTACCTTTTTAATAAGAGCCATTCTGACTGGTGTGAGATGGTATCTCACTGCGGTTCTGATCTGCATTTCTCTAATGATCAGAGATGCTGAACTTTTTTTTTGCATATGATTGTTGGCCGCGTGTATGTTTTCTTTTGAAAAGTG